TTCTTCCCATCTTCGCTGGTATCGTTGCAGCTGTTATTCTAGTCAAGTTTTTGGCTGCGCTTCAGCTTGGTTCCAAACGTCGTCCGGCTCAACAAGACAAGTTCGTCATTTGTCAGATTCCTGCGTATACTGAGGGCGAGGATCAACTTAGGAAGGCACTCGACTCGCTTACTGCCCTGAACTATGATAACAAGAGGAAATTGCTTTGCGTGGTATGCGACGGTTTGGTGGTTGGTGGTGGTAACGATAGACCTACTTCGAGCATCGTTTGTGACATTCTTGGTGTTGATCCAAAGATTGACCCTCCTGCGTTGCCTTTCAAATCCGTTGGAGATGGAAGTGCTCAACTGAATTACGGAAAGGTTTACTCTGGTTTGTATGAATACGAGGGATGTGTCGTTCCTTACGTCGTCATTGTCAAGGTTGGAAAGCCTTCAGAGCAAGGAAAATCAAAGCCTGGTAATCGTGGTAAACGTGATTCCCAAGTTCTGCTTCTCGACTTCCTTAATCGCGTCCACCACCGTACTCCTATGTCTCCGCTTCAACTTGAAATATTCCACCAAATCAACAACATCATCGGTGTTGATCCAGAGCTTTACGAATATCTTCTCATGGTTGACGCCGATACAAGTGTCAAGGAAGATGCGTTGAACCGTTTGGTGGCTGCTTGCGCAAACGATGCAAAGATCGTAGGTATCTGCGGTGAGACTAGTTTGGAGAATGAGGAAAGGTCCTGGTGGACTATGATCCAAGTTTACGAATATTATATCTCTCATCATCTCGCAAAGGCTTTTGAGAGTTTATTCGGATCTGTCACTTGTTTGCCTGGATGGTAAACCCCTTTTACGCCCCTTAATTAACGTATATATATTGACTCTTTGTTAGTTTCTGCATGTATCGTCTACGCACTCCTGACAAGGGTCGTCCTCTTATCATCTCCAGCAAAATTATTGAGGAATACTCTGATGGGTGTGTCGACACACTTCACAAGAAGAACCTGTTGTCTCTTGGTGAGGATCGTTATCTTACGACCTTGATGACTAAGCATTTCCCGTATATGAGCTATAAGTTCATTCCAGATGCCTACGCTCTTACTGCTGCCCCCGAGACCTGGAGTGTTCTGTTATCCCAAAGGCGTCGATGGATTAACTCTACCGTTCACAATTTGGCCGAATTATTCTTCCTCAAGGAGATGTGCGGTTTTTGTTTCTTTTCCATGAGATTCGTCGTCTTTTTAGATTTAATCGGTACCATCATTCTTCCTGCCACCTGCGTATATTTCGGATATTTGATCTATCTTATTGCCAGCAAGACAGGACCACTGCCTATCCTGTCACTGGTTATGATTGCTGCCGTTTATGGTCTCCAGGCGATTATCTTCATTATAAAGAGACAGTGGCAGCATGTTGGATGGATGATCATCTATATCCTTGCGTTCCCAATCTACTCCTTTGTTCTCCCCGTTTACTCCTTCTGGGCCCAAGACGATTTCTCATGGGGTAATACTCGTATCGTTATTGGCGAGAGCGGTGCCAAGAAGGTCGTTGCTACTGCAGATGAAGGATTTGATCCAAAGAGTATTCCGCTGCAAACGTGGGACGACTATGCGACTCAAAACGGACTTCCTGGTCGTCGCGGTGGTGCGCCGGAGAAGTTTGACGGTGCTTATCAGGACGGCGTTGAACTTGATGACATGCAATCCATGTACTCTTCTGTTAAGCCGGCCTCCACAATTCTTACTGGTCTTCCAAATATGGGCGGGCACCCTTACATGCCACCCCATTCCCCAGCCCCGTTCAACAATAACAGGCAGTCAACTTACTCGGCTTACACAAACTTCAACGATCCAAACCACCACCAGCAGCAACGTTTGATGTCACTAGGAGGTATGAGCCAGAGGGATTATTGGCAAGATGGTCCTGCGAACAACCGCCAGAGTGCCATGAGTACCGGGTTGCCAAGCACTGATAACCTCCTCTCCATGAACACCCCTCCACCAAGAGGACCTAGTCGGAGTCCCCTTGGATTCGCTGGAAGCAGACCAGCAAGTACCATGGACTTTATGAGGGCTGGTGGTGGACCAGATGATGATTCGATCATTGAAAGTATCAGACAAGTCCTAAGAGAGGTGGATTTGGAGACTGTTACGAAGAAACAAGGTTTGTTCTAAATTCTTTCTTAGAAACACTTATCGTTTATCAATTGCTGACTCTCAATTAGTCCGTGCGTTGGTGGAGCAAAGATTGCAGACAGAATGCCAGGGCGAGAGGCGGTCATTCTTGGATAAACACATTGACACTGAGTTGGCAAACTTGCCAATGTGATTTGTCAAAATCATATGAATTAGTTTTTCATTCATGGGCGTTATCCTATCAGTATTTTTTCAATTAATCTGTGCATTGTGTTTGCTTTACTTATCTTTACTTTTTATGTTTTACACTGGATTTCATATTGTTAATGCGTTATTGCAAAAAACGGTTAAAGTGGATGGGAAGATGATGGATGGATTGATGGGGGTTTGCGGTAGCGGCATATATACCTTGCATGGAATGGACGGTGTGGTTTATTGTGATATTGTAATAGTGGATGCTGGAACCAAAGCATGGAGTTTTTCATTTTTTGCATCACCTGTATTTGATTGATCATTGATGTGCACTTTTTTTTCAACTCAAGTTTGGTATTTTGCTAAAATTTTATACCATTTTACCTGATCTACCCGCTCGCTCTTTTTCTCTGGCTAGAGCATATTTTAGCGCGAGAACCCTTAGTTAACTTAAGGCGACTACCATTATCAGAGGGGAGAAATAGAGTCGACTTTATTAGAAGAGTTTTGCTCCGAAGTTCGCGTTATTTATTACTATGTGTGTCTCCACAGCACAGCAACGGCTCTAACTAGGCTTATAAATCCTACTTTGCCGCTAAGCAAAGCAATGTCCCAACTTCTTATTGGTCTATTTCAACCACAATTTACACTAGGGCATACAGTCGCAAGGAAACTAGATCCTCTAGAATTATTACTATATGTACTATTTTTTCTACTGCAAACTCAATTTATTATCCCGGATTTTTTTTGCCATCCCGTACGAAATCTCTAGAATCCTGGAAATCCGGTATATCGAGTTGTGACTGACTGTACTCTATTTTTGTCAATATTGTTGATGTCACTCATTACACCATACTGTTGTGGATTAAAATGACATGTCGGAATTCTGTGTGGAAATTTGGCTGCAAAGACTTCCGAACCTTTAATTAACGAGCGAGTAAAGTACATGTAGCTGCTTGGACATGTAGAAAAACATCATTTTTGTTTTTGAATTTCTCCCACGCTCGACTCACTCTGGCCCCGTTACGAGCGCCGGCAACAGTGCGCACTTCACAGCAAAACTTCTATTCTCTAGGGCCTTGAAATATTTATTTCCAATCTGTCTAAATCATCACGTTGGGTATTTCAATATTTCGCTCACAACTAGTGACGCGGAGAAATTGGCCATGGTCGTGTTTGTCCTACGCCTGTTGGGGTAGGTCTGTGGACAGTGGCTGTAGTTCTATTACCCTGAGAGGCCTAGGCGTAACGTACTAGCACCTCTAGCTTGGTCAAAAGCTTACGGCCAGGACCACGCTCGTGATAGATGACGTTATTCGCGGAGAAAGTGTTGAGTCGCAGTACTTGATATCTCCATATTTCTCATAATCGCCCCAGGCGCGGCCATTCTTACCCCAGCTGGCAAACAATCATTAACAGGGCTTTAATACTCTATATGAACGTTATATATTCACGTCAAGACTTCGGTTGAGACCGAAGCCATCCGCGACATAGCTACATGTTACGTCCAGAAATTATAAAAAAGTTATTATAGCTGGTCGGGTTAAGGTAATATCTAGAACAACTTCAAGCCAAAATTTCTATTACCGAGGCTTGACAGAATCCTAGGGCCTCCGTCTAGAGGTCTTTAAGGCTACGGTACCTACCTTAGGCGCGATAACCCTCAAAACAAAGAAACGTACCTCGTACTCGTGAGAATGTGTTAAGGGCTTGGTTGAATTACTATTGACGCCTATCCACATCATTCCTGTATCTCGTGGGAAGTTATTTTAGTTTCATATACCCTAACCATGAGTTTTTTACATCGCGACCAGGGTTGAAGGAAACGACTAAATAATCATTTCTCTTTCCCTAACCACCAACTTAAAATGTGCGACCAGGGCCTAGTTGTAGGGGATATCAAGATCTAGCAATCGAATCCATAGAACACGTCTACAAGCCTAGATAAATCCAAACTCTCATAACCATACCATCAAAGAGGGTGCTAGTTTCTAACTTATGGTGGACTAGGTAATTACTTATAATTAGAGGGTTGATGATCAGACTGGTTAACTCAAGCGATGTTGTAGGATTTATTTACTTTTTACTGAATTGATACACGCCGTCATACTTTGTCATAGGAAAGGAAACTTTGTTTAAATACGTCGCAAACTCCCCAAACACCAGTCAGCTAGCTAGATATAGCTACTCAAGTATACCATAAATAACCCCTCGGGGTGGCGACTGCTTTTGAGGAAGTCTACGCATCTACAAAACCACGCGGGACCAAATTTCATATAAGTTCTCTTCGAACTCTATGTTTCTTTTCATCTCAAAATAAACGTCTATCCTTAACCTCCTGTACAGTTGTCCTACACTCACCAGCCTGTTTACGGGAAACCCATTGAAACCCATCTTCATTTTGTGAGTTGAATTTACTTTCTCTTCCACCCAATCCCGAGTTTGAACTCTTTCCCACATCAAAAGACTGGCGGCCGGCGGCAAGTATGTGCTTGTGAGTCTCCCGAAAGTTATAAACACCCCGGCCATAGTATATACCATCAGCTCGATGTATTACTAGCATTTGCAAGCTGCGAATCGAATTTCTTGCAAAAACCAACTGTAAGAGAGTCTTTCGGTTTGCTAATTAACGATTAAGTGATAGAAAAGTAGAAAAGAAGAATTTTTACTTTCTCAAATGGCTACTCAACCGAAAACACCCTCTTCATTAACCGTATTGCGAGAACTCCCATTGGTCCGCATCTTTGGGCCCACCAGCACGGCCACCGAATCTCATATGCATGGGTGCTCTTGTGGCCCACGCATCAGGGTTAGAGAAATAACTGATTATTCGAAGGGAAATCCCGCTACTATTCTAGACATGAACGGGATACTTTCCAATCTTCGTATTTCTCCTACTGAACTTTTGGAGGGAAGGGACAAGACTTCTCGGCTATCCAAGGGGAAGATGGGGAAGGATAATAAAATATATCGCCCGCAGAAGACTTCGGCCGGGGAAAAGAACAGCAACCTCGCGGACGTGGCGGAGACGGCTAGGCGTCATTTAAAAGCTAGACGTGAGGATGTGTCAGACATGAAGAATGGCACAGAACCAAAGGGTGATTTTTTGAACTGGCTGCGAAAAAATGAGAAATCAGGTCGGGTTACGAAACCCAGGATGAGCAAGAGGGGCGCAAAAATCTCATATGACCGGAAGATGCGGAATTCAAGTACTGACAGTCTTAACGGAATGCCTATTGGTAAGTTTGGAGCCCGTCCTCCTGTGTATCGAATTCTTTAGTTAATTTCTGATATGATGGTATACAGAGGATATCGACATGGTAAGTGCCTTCCGGGCTCTGGACGCTCAAGAGCGCGATCGGGCTATCAATCAGGTGGATCAATCAGGACTTGTTGATATGATGGAGTCATTTTCCCTCCCGGAAGATGTGGCAGATGAGGATGAGATGTGTTGTGAAAGTAATAATGAGGTTGCTCCTAGTGGATCCGAACTACGGATGGACATTTCAGATATCTAGGAGCTTAGAGTAGGCGTCTTTGGAGTCAGCTTTTCTTTCAATAGCGAGCTTTCTATTAGTAAATTACTGTATCTTAGAGTAATTTCCTTTGTTCTAGATGCTCAATTTAACAACATCGTGGTTTTATACATGTAGACGCTTTATATTTCCTATAACATTGGAACTGGATAAAATCTAATGCTTTTGTCACCCCTCGCAACCTTATAATTAGAGTGTAATATATTATGACCAATGAATTTTTAATTCTAGGGGCCAAGTGTATGCTGAGAATGACCTCTTAACTACATGTATGTAAGATCCAGGTGATGGAGCTTAGGATATATCACTAGGGCCGTTTCTAATAAGCACGTTTTTACTCTCTATAGAGTTATCTACCAATGAAAATCCCTTCTACTAGCTTCCTCTATTACCTTGCATGCTATATATTTCAACCTCCGTGCCGTGAGTGAGAATCCATGTAGGTACCATAGATGCGTCTTAGGATCTTATCTTATCAGATCATCCCGTCTAAACGCGTCCGTCAGGCACTTTAGCAGGCCGACGCGTTTCAACATCCCCTTAACCCCCAAACTCGAAAAACGGGAACTGAAGCAGTACCCTCAATTCGGTATGTCTGGTATCCCGTCTGATTTTGATCCTGCACTTGTCTTCTCTGACTACCTACCCGACATTCAGTCATCCGACTACCCGTCTCAACCGCTCGAGGAAGAATCCTACACAGACGAGCTAGAAGCCATCGTGCTCCAAGCCGAGGAGACCAGGCAGAGATTTGACGAACAGGGAGTTGTGATTAGACACCGTCAATCGGGGTTAAGATCAGCTTTCAGAAGTAGTAGTTTACCGCCTGGTGAGTGGACGGAGGCGCGTTAATTGGGATTTCGTTATTCTAGATTTTAATAAGGAAACATGTAGAGACGCCAACCAAAAGCTCGAAAAATTGCAAAAACATCTGGGCAATCCCAACATCTCCACTTGCTTCAGAAGATATACCGCCCTCATCCCCGACAACACCACGAGCAGTAGTAGCAATGCAATCAATACTCGCATTCCCCAGTTCTTCGCCTCCTCCGGCCGCACCCCCGGCGGCCAAATGTCAAAAAGTCATAGCGCCGAACGATTACGCTTTCGATTATCCGGATTCTGATGAGGAGGACGCACTCATGCGTCAGGGCGCCGATGAAGAAGAGGGCGAGGATTCACAACGACTGCCCGGAGAATCTGAAAAGGAAAATGCTCTGAAGACTCCAACCACACCCCTGAGGCCGGTATTCAACTTACCGTTATCGGGTGGGCTGTTTAGTAAAAAGTTTACGCCTACCGCGACGAAAACATCATACTCAAAACCTACGGAAATAGACCTCACGACCGAAGATTCTGCGCCGGATGTGCTAAGGAACTTCCGGGCAGAATTGACACCCCCGCCCCAACTTCCGCCGGCAAATCAAGAGTCGTTTGAAGCATTCAAGGCTGCGATGAAGTCTGCGCCTAGAGCTAGTGTACCTAAACCTACAGCTCCGGCAGTTTCAACTTCTGTATATTCGTCTACCACTGTCCCTATTGTACTTAGCTCGGGGGAGACCCTCCATGTTAGAAAAAAGGCGCCAAAAATAGGTGCTACAAGGGAAAGCTTCAGCCTGTCCTCCGAGGCCGTTGGGGGTGCTTCTGGAGAAGGACTAGACGAGGGATTAAAGAAGAGTTACTTCGGAGTTGATATCAGCTCTTTACTCAGCGATTACAACGCCGAGAAGTGCATACAGAAAACACAACAAGAAGAAGCTGCACTCAAGGCTGCTGATAAAGCCGCCGACGAAGCTCTCGCTGCTGCTCTCAAAACCGATTTGGAGATTTCCGGTACGAAATGTAAGAAGACACAGCTTTGGTCTGAGAAGTACCGCGCAAAGCGCTTCACGGACCTTGTAGGAGACGAGCGGACACATAGACAAGTGTTACGATGGTTCAAGGCATGGGATAAAATTGTCTTCCCATCTGCAAATTCCAAAGTAAAGAAGACGGAGGAGGGTGACGAGCGAGAACTCCGGAAAATTTTACTTATTCACGGCCCCCCTGGGCTGGGAAAAACAACTCTAGCGCACGTGGCTGCGAAGCAAGCAGGTTATGAGGTTGTTGAGGTCAATGCCTCCGACGAACGCTCTGGAGGGGTGGTGAAAGGCCGTGTAAAAGATATCCTTTCTAATAAGGGTGTCAGGGGTATGGGAGTGGTGACCAGCGCTTCCAACTGTACAGTAACATTGGGCAAACCAGTCTGTCTAGTTGTTGACGAAATTGATGGTGCCTCCGGCGGAGGGAGCGATGGCAACTTCGTAGGTGCACTCGTCGATCTAGTGCTATCTGACGGGAAACCATCCAATGTTGTTGTTGAAGCTGGAGTCACAAGGAAAAAGAGGAAGAAGGAGAAGGAAGAATTGTTCAAGTTGCAGAGGCCGATAGTGGCTATCTGCAATGACCTTTATGCCCCTGCATTGAGGGCATTGAGGCCTTTGGCGGAAATCGTGTATATGCGAAAACCACCGGCAAAACAGATGGTAGGCAGAATCAAGAATGTGTTGAATACCGAGGGGTTTAGGGTAGAAGATGGAGCAGTAAGGAGATTAGTAGAGCTGAGTTGTACGGATAGTGCTGGAAAGGCTGGCGGAGACATGAGAGCTGCCATGGTAGGGTGCGAATGGATCGCAGCTCGGCTGCGAGCTGCAACAGAGCTAAGTAAAATCCCGAGCGAGAAGAAATACCTCACACGAAAAATCGTAGAGGAAGAGTTTGGTGAGGGCGGGCTCGGAGATACAGACGGCAAAGGAGGGAGTAGTGGAAGAGGGAGTGTTAAAGAAGCAGTGGAAAGAGTTTTCTACGCTGAAGAAGTGATGAGAGGTAAAAAGGAAACAAGCGCCAACAAAAAAAAAATCAACATACAAAATCTGCGTCAGGTGGTGGAAGGAATAGGTGAATTCGACAAGATCATGTCAGATTGCTTCGCGACATATCTCACACGCCCTTACAACGACGACCCATACTTGACGAAACCCAACGCCGCGAGTGAATGGCTCTGGTTTCAGGATCTTTTGAGTGCAAGGGTTTTTCAAGAACAGGACTATGAATTGAGCGGATATCTCTCAAGTCCTATTCTTGCATTTCACCTTCTTTTTTCTAGCCCTGTACGACAGAAGGCTCCGCAGAGCAAGTACAATCGTAAGGACCACGAAGAAGAGGAGGAGGCGGCACCATTTTCAGGACCACAAGCAGAATGGGAGGTCCGTGAGGGCACCAAAGAGCACAAAGCCTTAATAGCAAGCGTGCAAACATGCATCATGAAAAGCGAAATAAGGCTGCATCAAGCCTTCCATGCTGCCGAGAATGTAGCTATGGAGCTTGCGCCATGGGTATCTCGGATCCTTTCTCCGAATATAAAACCGGTTGTGATCGGCGGGTCTGGGCCCGAGGGAGGAGTGGCAAGTGTAAGACGAGAAGGAGAAAAGAAACTCGTTATGAGGGGTGTAGAGGTCATGATGGGGTTGGGCGTAATGTTTGAAAGGGTAAAGGTTGAGGGAATTGGTAGCAGAGGATGGGGGTGGATTTATAGAATGGAGCCGTAAGTTCCCCTCTCCAGCTTGTGAAGTATACACGGTACTAACGTTATGGATAGCCCACTCGACTCACTCTCGATCTTCCGCACATCTACAATCCCTCCTGGCGAACTGGCACCAGCTCCTGTCCGCTATGCCATCCGTCAAGTGCTCTCTCAATCTCTCTACAAACAACAGGTAGCCCAACGCGAAGCGTCCAGACAAGCCCGGATGGGTACATCTCTTGAGGCCCCGCAGCTCAAGATGGTGGTTAACCTTGAAAATATGCTGAAGCGCAAGAAGAACGAAGTTAAGAAAGACTTTTTCGGGCGTGTCATAGTTTCCGATGAACCCCAAATCGGCGAGGAAGAAGAGGAAACACGCTGCGGAAAGAGAAAGAAGGTACAGGAAGATAAGAACGAGACAGTGTGGCTAAGTTTTCACGAAGGTTTTAGTAATGCAGTTAGGAAGGGCGTTACGTTAGATGAGTTTATGAGCGGGCTGATGTAAGTTTTATGCGCATGCTTTGGGAGCTTCTTTTGTCTTGGGTATTAGAAAGGTTGCATTTATAGTATTACATGGCTTTATTACATGTAGTTAGCTGTTTTGTAGAAGAGACGTTTCCTCGGATCTCTGAAAACCGTTAATATTAATACCTTCGAGTCGATCGCCAGATCACTCGCTGATCGCACTCTTTGAAGATGATGAGGTGTAGTGTGCATCAAAGATAATTGTTAAGCCATGTAATCTTCTTCGCCGTGTTTAGAAAACTTTTCTCCTATCCAAGCTATGGTTATGGCTATCGTTTAGGTAGGCACCTGTGACCAAAGTATCGCCCATAGGATCGAAAGGATCCGGGATATTACTTATGCTCAAGTTTCCAACCTAGATACATACTATCTACTGTTAAGTACATACATATGGTGGTTTGTATTCGTCCGTCGGCGAGGTGTATGGCTCTTGCTAGTGTTAGCAGATATTGCCCCAAAGAATCCCCCCACATATTCTATTTCTAATATCCTCAATTATATGTATGTACGATCAGGAACGGTTTTTACTGTCCATAGTAGTGTTTAAACAAAAGTGTACGTTCATTATCCCACATGGCGGGACGAGCATAGCTCACTTGGTTGGCACTGAAGGTTGTTTCTTACGCCAAGACACATAGCTAGTCAACCATGCACCGCTCTAATCTCCTTTTAACTCCATAACGACAATAATCTTCACATTGCCCTTTGCAATCATCTACATTACACGCCTGCCACCCGGAACGCACCAAAAACACCCTCCATATCTACACTGCCGAGGAAGATTCCTCACGAGTGATATCCTATGATCCTGATGGATCGGCGTGAACCGCGCAGCACCCTCTGGAAGCTAATAGGTAATACTAGTTGTGTTATAAGTATAGGCATGGAGGGTATCTACTTCTAACGAAGGACCTAAATTAGCCCATTATTGTGTTCGTGGTATAGGCACATGTATGTAAATACGTTCACGACTAACTTTGAAGAATGGGGACTTACAAGTGTTTCCTCACCGTCAATGACAGAATAGACAAGAGGGGGTAGTTTTAGTCAATGTGAGAAGCAAGGCTCGACGTGATATTACCTAGGAAGCAAGATAGAGGAATGTGCGGTCGGCGTACGGCACATGTTGAATAAAAATATACATAGACATGGAAAATCACTCGGATGACAAATGCACTAATATGGCCAATTTCAGAGACATCTAGGAGTAACCGGGGCTCTGAAAATTCTTAATTCCTGCTAAACCATAGTGCAGTGCTGTAAGGAGACATCGTGGGTGCGTTGATCTCGGGTAGTGCGGCCATAGTGGGGGGGAGAAGAGGGTGGCTGCATGAAGTGCTGGAAGTCATAATAGGTGGCCATTCTGGATAAATATATATATAAAGAAGACACGCACACGCAATAAAAAAATTCCGTAAGATCGTAGCATCAAAGAATCCCCCTTTATCTCCCATCTAGACTATGGGTCCATCCTCATGAGAATAGAGGAGCCCCTCATCATAGATTCCCACCATATCTACCCCGCCCGCGACGCGCATAGATCGGATACGAGAGCACTGTAAGGTTTTATTTTAATTCCCGATTCTAAACATGCCTAATTTGATATTAGTTCTTACTGTCTTCTTTTGTGTGTGGCTTGTGTACTACCTATCAGTGGTTGCAGCGTTTCCTGAAACCGACCGAGTGATACCCCATGTCTCTGGCTAAATGGATAAACTTCCACCGCTAACTAGCGGAACCCGGTATTGATTCACGGTAAGTCGTCAAATCCCCACCTTCACCTCCACTGTACATTGCCGATGTTCTAAAGCGAGCTTGTGCCGACCGAAACGGCCGCGGGTAAGTCAATTGGGCCATTAGGCTCTTATGATCGGTCTTCCTTCAGATTGTGAGCTTCCTTGGGCGCAAATCAAGAGTTTATCCAAGAATAAAGCTAGATTAGCGTGAGCTTACGAGATACACCTGCTAGGACTCTACTGGGGAGTTGAATCTCCGTTCTTGGAGCTGATATCCTTTAAGGCTATATATCAAAGCAATGTTCTCCCTTGCATGATCCCATGGCGCGGATCTTCGGTTGAAGGCCCGAACAACCTGCTTGCGCTGCACCCCATCAACTCTAAAATTTTCCGAAAGTCCAATTTATCCACCCAATTCAGCCAGACATACTTAAGTGATGCGCAAGAACCGGGGATGGAAAAAGGCTTCTTTGAACTTTAGCCAAAAGCCGGCAGTAGGGATGAGATGACAATGTGGGGTGAAAGAACGCGGGGAAGGGAGAGAGAAGGCATGGAGAGGTGTGTGTTGGGGGGGGGGGGGGGGAGGTATATATATAGCGTGCTGTACGGTAGACAGAAGAAAGACAGACATCATATCCTGATTTTTTGCGAGACCTAATATGACTGGAATATTTGCAAACTTTGGAAAAAGACTCAGCATTGCATTCTCAGGCGAAAAGAACATGACGCCTGCTGGTATTCTGAAGGTTGAGGGGACGAAGATTGTTGATACCGATGGAAAGGAGGTCCTTTTGCGGGGGGTATGTAGCTCAATTGCAATTGAGTTAGTTTTTAGAGGATTGCTAACAGTAGTGATGATGTGCGCAGGCTGGTGTAGGAGGATGGGCAAATATGGAGAACTTCATCACCGGATTCCCAGGACGAGAATACCAGATCCGACAAGCTCTTGCCGAGGTTCTTGGGAAGGAGAAAGCTCAGTTCTTCTTCGATAAGGTACTAGCTCTCTTGATAGTATTCCTTCTTCGTCGCACTAACATCATACTCCCAGTTCCTCGAATACTTCTTCACGGAGCAAGATGCCAAATACTACAAATCCCTCGGTCTCAACTGCATTCGTGTTCCATTCAATTACCGCCACTTCGAAGATGACATGCACCCTCGCGTCCTTAAGCCTGATGGTTTCAAGTGGCTCGACCGCATTGTCAACCTCTGCGCCGCTGAAGGCATCTACACCATTCTAGACATGCACACAGTTCCCGGCGGCCAAAACGGCGACTGGCACTCGGACTCCGCCCACCACGTTGCCGAGTTCTGGAACCACAAGGATTTCCAGGACCGTTCAGTGTGGTTATGGGAGAAGATCGCCGAGCACTTCAAAGGAAACCCGTGGATTGCCGGGTATAACCCATTGAATGAGCCTTGCGATCCTACACACGAGAGGCTGCAGGCCTGGTACCATCAGGTCTACCCGGCTATCAGGAAGATCGATCCAGACCATATTTTGTTCCTGGATGGAAACACTTTTGCGTCAGATTTCTCGCACTTTGATGTTGAGGAAACATGCAAGAAGTGGGATAACACTGTGTACTCGGTGCATGACTACTCAAACTACGGATTCCCGGCCTCTTCAGAAACATACACTGGGACCGAGGAGCAGAAAGCGAAGATAAAGCGAAGTTATCTCAGGAAAGTACAGTGGATGAAGGAGAACAACCTCCCTATCTGGAACGGAGAGTTCGGCCCGGTGTATGCCAGGAAGGAGTATGACGGAGAGGAGGAAACCCCAAAGATCAATGACAGCAGGATCAAGCTCCTCAAAGACCAATTGGAGGTTTATGATGAGGACCGAATCTCATGGAGCATCTGGCTCTACAAGGACATTGGGTACCAGGGTAAGCATATTCTCTCCAAATCGATACGGCCAGGAATTAACCATATGACAATCAAATAGGAATGGTCTACATCAACCCCGACACACCTTACATGAAGCTCTTCCGCGGCTTCCTCGACAAGAAGTTCCGCCTTGCCATCGACGCCTGGGGTGCCGATGACTCCAAAATTCGCGACGTCATGGAGCCCTTCGAGCAGTTCATCGCCGACAACGTTGACCCCAAGTACCGCAACCTCTACCCCTCCCCAGTGTGGAAGTTCAAGGACCGTATCGCCCGTATCTCGCGCAACATTCTATTAGCCGAGTTTATGGTCAAGGAGTGGGCGGACCACTTCGAGGGTATGAATGAGAAGCAGCTAGATGAACTGGCGCAGAGCTTCAAGTTTGAGAACTGCGTCCACAGGGATAGCCTGAATAAGGTGTTGAGGGACCATAGGGGCATAGCGTAGATTTTAATGAGTTGTACTTAGCGCTTTCTTTTTTTTTTTGTATTTTTGGAATGGAAATCTTTTGTGGGTACATACAGTTCTTTGTGTGAGAAGTCGGCTATTGTGTCGAAGCACAACTAATCACTCGTTGCGTTGAGATTTAAAAGTAGAAAACGTACTCTGCACGACCAGACTTCCTAATCTCTTTATGATGCTAAGATAAGAACAGAACTCTGGTAGTTTTATAAATCAAATCTTGCAATCCCCATCTTTCTGGTTTACAAGTTCTAGAGCTAGTACCGCTACTCAATCAAGCAACCCACTAAGCAACCGACCAAAGAATTTAATATTTGAGTTTTCCCACGATATACAAAGAGAAAAATTAAACCCAGCCAAACTCTTAAACACGTTGTCACACAAACAATCTTTCTAACGAAAATGAGAATCTAACAATCATAGGCGATGTTTGAGGCGCAAAAAGGATACATGTGGCACTGAAATAAGAAATTGGGAGGGTTAAATGAAAGCATCTACGCATATCTACCACGACGTTCGTTGTTCATGCTTGAGCGAGACTGCCGCTGGCGAACAGCCCTGTACTCACGGTCGTGGTAGATATCGTTCTCATCTTCATATCTAGCCCTCTTGCCGCCAGAGACCCTCCTCCTGTTATTCCCCCTCTCCCTTTCCCCCTCTTTCTCCCGTTCCTTCTCTTTTTCCTTCTCTTTCTCGGACTTGTGGTTTCTTCCACGATCCTTGATCTTTTCGTAGTTGTCGACAAGTTCCGCAACCCCAAAGCGACCCTCTCGCCTGGCCTTTGTGGTGACAGGGGGTTCATCCTTTTGGGGGATGCCGAAACGCTTTGCGCGCAAGGAAAGCTTTTCGGCCTCGGTGAGTTTTGCTATGCGCACAAGGGTTGGCATAGAGCTTGGGGCTGTACTAACAGCTATTTTCCCGGTAGGGTTTTGCTTTGCTAAGACCGTAGGAGTAGCTGTGGGTTGGACAGAAGAACGGGCCTTGATCGGAGGGTCATTTGACTTAGATGATTTGGTGGGTGCCTTGTCTTCAGGGAAAAGTGACGCAATCGAGTTGAACTTAAATCCGGACTTGGTAGTCTTGAAGGATTCTGATTCCGTGCGGGTTTTGGAGTCTCCGTCTTTTTTAGAGAGACTGTTCGTAACGCCAGTGGTTGTACCTGCGTTTATCTCTTCAACGATGGACGTGAGGACAGTGGTTGGGGAAATTTTAAGGTAATCGAGTGTTACGGAAGAAGCAGCACTGCCGGCCGAAACAGGATCACTAGAACTCATGGGGATAATATTACCAGTAGGGGCACCAGAGGGGATTTTAATGGTAGGCTTGGGAAGAAGCGCAATTGAAATAGGCTTGGTGGCAGCATTGATAATCTTTTCTTCTGCTGGGTAGAACTCCGCTGCAAGGGATTTGTATTTGAAACCAGTTTTAGTGACTCTGTCGACAGGAAGGGAGCCAGGAACAGTGGCTGTCGTTTCGGTTTTGGAGGGGCTCTTGTCAGTAGTAGTGTCCACTTCAGAAAAAACAGAAGTAGACAACTCTGACTTTGGGATATTGAAAGAAACCTTGGGGATCGGCCCAGACTTTGATGCAGGGAACTTTTTGGATTCGGGGTCAGGAGTTTTGCTAGCCTCCAGTGCCATATCGCCGTAGGTTTTCTCCCAATTGGCGTAGTCCCCCTCATCACTGGTAAGAATATCATTGGAGAAGAGCGATGAACGACTGATGTGAGTATCTGAGACCGGGCGCTGAGGGGTTGTAGTTGGCTTTGGTCTTTCAGGCCTGGAAATGGCAGGAGAGTTATGAAGCTGTGGTGATGGGGATGGATCATGAGTGTGATCATACTCTTCTAGGCGACTGATGAGAGCATCTTTCACTCCGAGAAGCGAGAGGCCGCGGTTTCTAAGCAGCTCGATGAGTTCGAGTTTGGTCAAATCGGTATAATCTTTCATAATTGTGAAGGGGTGGGGTGGATGGAGATGGAAAGGAGGAGGAGGGGAGAGTTTCGGCGAAAAGGGTTGATGAAGTGTTGAGTTCTGAATGATGATGGTTATGATGATAGATGGTAGGTGATGTGATGGTAGATGTCGGGGGATGGTAGTGGTGTTAGTGGAGCGTTGGCGTTTCAGCAACCTTGACGTGGACGGCGGAAGGGTCGTATTGACCTAGACTCTCCAAAGCCAAAAACGGTTAAATCAACAGAGAGGTAGGCCGTATACACAAGGGGAAGATAGCCTTCTATTGAGAGGTTTACATGTAAGTTGGTAGGCCTTAGCCGTTGTTTCCCTTGAGAGAACATCGAAGCCCAGTCTACGCCAAGGTTGGTGCGAGTGCTAGCTTATGATCAAGACGACATCTAAAGGCTCATCTAGTAACATGGATCGGAGCCGTCAACTTTGTAGCATCTAACTACATGTATCAACAATCAGAAAATTAGAAAAAAGTTACATGGAATTCATTAAATAACGGACAGATCCTTTTAGAGGGGATTCAGGTAGTAGAATTTACTATTTCGTTTTTCTTTTTCCCTGGACTCGACCAACCTTGCAAATTTTGTTTTATCTTTCGAATCACCAAAAAAAATATGCAGAATCTACCGCGGGAACAAAAGAAAGACATGCACACAGACAAAACTTTTAATGGTTCCGACACCGCCCAGGCCCGCTATTATCTCTATACATGTTCTACGGTTCTAATTACCTATCCACCAACCAAACAGAGTAACCATGAAATAGAATCTGAGTGTGAGATCAAAGTTAACCAGAAGGCCTTAAATACCGAATCACCCCTACTTATGAGCGTTACTTTGAATCTCGTGGTCTTCAACACATACTGACTCTCAACACTTTCTCTTATTCAGGTTTAATTTTATCATCGACTTTCGAATTTATAGTTATATTCTGCATCTACACACCGGCGACAGCATGATTAACGAGTTTTTTGAACTCATCACCGAGAAGTACACTCCGTTCGACTGGAGCAAGAACTATGAATGGAGCACCTGGCCTCAGTTAACTAGGAGTGAAGCCGGGCATGGCGCTAGAGCACCAAGTCGGTATATCCAGGATCAGGAAGAAAACCAAAGCTTCTTCGAAGGGTTTGATCCCCTTCCCGGAGCTAACGAGGCTAGGAAAACAGTCTCTCCTACGGACCGTAAGATGGTAAGCAGACTATACACACTCTGCCCTAACTACACGCACCGCAAAGCTAAGTGATTCTCACAGTTGCTGAACCACTTACACTCCGCTGTACACGAGATTGAGCTACCGCAGACCAGAATTTTCGAACCGGAGCCGGTGCACTGTCTCATAAGTCCTCTAATTTACTGGGGATGGTCAAATGAGTCAGAAAGCGGGGACTATGAAGGGGAGTTATTCGCCCTGGAGCCAAAGCCTATGTCGATTAAACCCAAGCAGTTTTTCGATTGGGGGTGGTTGAGGCAGTTGGAGGATGGGGGCTGGGAAGGGGGTCCGTACGAGTTTCCCAAAGGTTCAGGAGAACTGGAAAGCGGGGAATATGAAGGGGAGTTATTCGCCCTGGAGCCAAAGCCTATGCCGATTAAGCCCAAGCAATTCTTCGACTGGGGGTGGTTGAGGCAGTCAGAAGACGGGGGCTGGGAAGGGGGGCCGTACGAGTTTCCTGAATATTTGGATGACATCGATAGCGATGATTAAGTGTCTTTTTGTTCTTCTACCTTGGTTTCTCTTGGCTTACCTTTGATTTCTTCGTTTTCGAGTTTCTCCCTCTATTTTTTTTAAACCTTTAATTCTCTTTGGTTAATACTGAAAGCCGTGCACGTGCACGTGTAGTTTAGAAAATATAATGACTATGAGATCACAGTATACTATCAATGTCAATCCATACCCAATCAAAACTTAGTTAGTACTGAGGCGCCTATAGCTATCCGCAGCACCTGATCCATGTTTACCGAAAGCCAATTCAAAGAGGCCTAAAAACACAGATTTCTTTCACCGCGGCCATGTTATCCTATGTGCGGGAAATTCTGACAGGTGGAGTGCAACATAGCTTCTAGCATGTACACAAACTATACATACGGCCCTACTCCATGTGATTTTTACGTAACCGAATATGGCTATGATTTGGCTTTGAAGCACTGGAGATATATACTTGGCCATGCCCATAACAATAAAGTCAATACTGGGAAAATCTAAGGCCACTTAGACAACGGAACAAACCAGCTGAATTCATTGAGACTCAGAGTCCGACTCGAGCTTTAAGCTACAAGTACATGTAGTATATAGCCATAGCCAGCACCCAAACCCAACCCTAGTTTTGAACTTGAAGTTAAAACAACTGGGGCAATTACATTCAGGTTATAATTGGGTACCGAATACGTATATATCAAAATGCTACCATTTCTTGAATTCAAATTATTTACTAAACTGTGCTGCTTATAGATATTCGTTAATTTGAATGATTATCCCTAGTCACACCAATAGTACACAAATATAGCTAGATCACTAGATCGACCAAAGGGTTGAAAAAAAGTAGATGATCAGAGTCAATCAAGATAACGAGTTTAATAAATTCTATTGATATTATTGAAAAAAAGGATATAATATGTACGCGCAGTTACAACATGTAGGTATATATGGGAACAACTAACTCTAACAGTCATAAATGAAAAAAGATTAAGGAAAAAACCATTGCTATAAAAGCACACAAGATGTTCTAAATTCCAAGGCGATCATTGATATCCATATGCCTGCGTTGGTCCCCCACCGAGTCCTGCACCAATGACAATTAGTTAGTAAATTATGAAGGTAAGGGAAAATCACAACTAAATATACTTACCAGCCGCTTGCGCCAAATACCAGCTTCTACTCGCGCCCCCGTCCAACCACTCATTCTTAAACCCCTCCTGTGCAAAAAATAGCCAACTACTTTGTGGCTGGAACAGTGCAACGTTTGCATATAATATGCCCTTCCAGCCATCGTTAATGCCTGCTGTCCTGTTCGAGAACCACTGGTCCCACTCTTCACGGCAGAACTGGGCGTCTCTGTAGTAGGCAGATGCGGGGGTCAGGGGGATCATATGGATTCCTTGTATGTATTCAATTTTGGCACCAAAGTAGGTGGAGTGGTCCACTTTATTTTCGAATAACTGATGAATAATCATGTTAGTATGCATATATCATATTAACATGGAGTAAAATATATATAACTTACAATTCCGGTAACCTTATTCGCAATAAAGTTCCACGGATGCGCCTTGTTCCCGGCTTTCAGCAGAAAATACTCATTGAAACTCCGTTTCATCAATGCCATCATGAGGTTTCCTCTCCCTTCGATCTTTGCATCACCGACTACATTGCCCCACAGTTTGATAGCGTAGCCGCAATTCATATCCTCAGAGGTAGATTCTTGGTCCTTTCCGTCGGCAGACTCGAAGAGGCCTTTAGCCCAAGAATGACCGTTGTACCAGTCGAAGGCTCGGGAAACAGGATACCATGGATCAGATGAGGACGGATTTGCCATCTATCAAAGTCAACCTCCGATTTCATTGGGGGATGGAGTAAACTCACATCTCTAAGTAGAGTTTCGAACCAGGGTCTGTTGGTTTGAAGCCAGGCCTGGTTATTGTTCAATTCCTTGTCTAGTTGCCCAATCGCAGCACCGGTGAATAGGAAGTAAGACTATATTATCAAGAGTTAGTGATAGATATAGATGTAACGATGTATGGTTCTACCCAATGGAAGTGATGATCATTATAGTAACCGTTTCCAAAATCCGACATAGCATCACCGTTGGTGAACATCGCACCTGAAATAACCCCTCTCCAAGTAACTTGAGCAAGGACATATAGTTATTAGTTACCAATATTTCATATATTACGAATGGGGCGAGCATACGGTCATAAACTAACGGAAATTGTTGCTTGTTTGTCAAAAAGGGCTGAAAAGCTGCTTTCAGCCTTTCCAATCCCCTTCTTGCCAAATCCTGTTGGCCGATACGTGCGGCCACAATAAGCAGCTGCGCGAACTTTTGAAAACCCTGTACGAACACAGTTAACTATGCACAATTCACGAGAAAAAATAGCGCATACCTTTCCACTAAAATACATACTGTTCAGGTATGTTTGTCCCCCCATGTCCTGCGCCAACTCCTGCTCTAGTATCGGTTTAATCACCGCAATCTGAGCAGCGGTGAATGGTGTTCCCCAAAAGAATCCAGTATTGGTTGGCATGCTCGGCTCCACCAAGGTCCAACTATCTCCAATCAGCGCCTCTGCATTTCCTTTCGTTGGGCTGTTCAATTGCAACCCAGTTCTCCTGGCAGTGACCTCGGAGTCAAGATGATGTTTCAACGCATATGTCAATAAACCATTTGCATTGTTTGACCCGTAACGGGTCCACTTGAAGTTGTATGTCCCAACAGTCCCTTCGGCTACTCCGGAGATCTCCATGCCTATGGGGAAGGCGCCGGCAGTGGCATCAATGACTCCTTCGAGACCAGCGTTCTGCGTACCGTCTTTGCTGAGCTTTGAGATCTGTATAAAACCCGTGAAAGAAGACGATGCAGAGATTTCACTATTACTTCTCAAAGATAGGTTCAACTGGGTGCCGGTTTCACTATAGGCGTAGAGAAGCCAGATACTGTTATCTTCTTCGGTGATCCTCCATTTTTGAAGACCAGACCGCGGCGACTGCATTTCCTCGAATTTTCTGTACAATACCCCGGTAGTGAGTTTGGGGGTAAGATCCTTATATCGTCCAGTGATGAAGCCCATGCCTTGGTATAAGGGCATTTGGAGCCTTTTAGTATCAAGGCCATACTGGGAGACATCTGCATGAAGATTGAGTTCGACAGAGACATGTGTTGGGTTACTCAGAGTCGTAGTAGATCTCGAGAAAGAGAACTCTTGAGCACCAAAGGTGACGGAATTAATTCCCAGGGCGTTGATATAGAACCTGATCGGGTTATCATTTGGGTTGTCGCCAACTCCCTAATCTAATATCAGCTACTTGTTTTTGACCATATTTCAAGGAATAACATACTCTTTTATCCTCGGTGGCATGAGAAATACTTGCCCCAAAGTTACTCGCCGTGGCGGAATCTCTGGGGACCCAGAACATGTACGGAATGGTCCATACTCCCATATCCCTCTTTCCCAAAAACAAGTTCGAATAGAACCTTCAAAACACCAAGTCAACATAATTTACTACTTAATTTTTTAAGTTATTATAAGAGGCAGGGCATACTTATTTGTTGATATTGGGACATCTGCACCTACAGTATCAAACGAAACTCTTGGCAGTTTATTTTGAACCTTGGCAAACATTCCCAAGGGGGCTGCTGTTGATACTGGGCTATCAAAGAGCTGCGTGCTGGCGACCGTGTATGGGCAGAATGACGACATGATTGGGTTTCTGCAAAAACCTTCGGGGATACAGATGTCAATTGCCTGAGGAGCTCCGGACTTACTTCCTGAACTACTAGTGAAAATCCAACTTTGTTGCCACTGAAATTCGATGCTCTGGCTATTGAATGCAGAGCGGCGTAGCCTTCGATGTGCTACTGGTGCGGGCGCGCTGTTGACTGGTGGTGATACGAGAGATATAAACCCTAAGAACCAAATAAAGGTTCGAAATACTTGTTGCATTGTCGTTAGTTTGGATATTTCTTTCATAAAGAAATTGATTTGAATGTAGGAAACAAAGAGAAAGTTGGATATCTGGGAATCAAGAAAGCGTTGTTTGATGGGGAATAAAACTATGAGAGATTAAGGGAATTCATAAAGAAAGGAGAGAGGTCAATGGCCAGTTTGCAATTTCTTAATTATTCAAAACCGTGTTCCTTTTAAGTAAACGTATCCAACTAGAGCTAGAAGGACACTCATGACCTAAGGATTAGATAGTTATGGAATGATGTGACCTTAAATATCCTTAAATATTTTTGTTGATTAGGTGTATGCACTTGGTGTATATGTAGAAACCAGGTTGCTATATGTATGTACGGGTATGTGCGTAGGCCATGTGTGAGGACCGAGTGACAGAAGGTGCAGGAGAAATAGATTCGAGATGATAAAAGCTTCCATGTCGAGGTTGGCATGGCAATAAATAAAGAATCGAAACAAGTCTTGTTGACTTGGTAATCTCCTTAAGATTTCCCGTAGCAGGACATTCCTCCGGTAACTACTTAAGATGTAGTTGTCATTCCGAATATGTATGTCGTACAGAGACCCAAGATACCGGGAATGTCTCAAGAGGTTGGATCTCCATGCCAGGTGCACAGACGGGACGCAGGAACAGCCGCAACAGGAAAAGCAGGAACAAAAAAAGGAAATACAGGGGGCGAGCAAAATAGAGATAGATCAAGCGTAGCCAGCAAGTAATTAATGAGATAACTGTCATATCCTACCTCTAAAGGTTTCTAAATCTGTGTTGAATTGTTGATGCGAATTAAAAGACACTCAGATTGCACGATTATTGCAGGTTTGATTCGAGCTGTTTGTGAAATTCGAAAGCTAGAGCTTTAGGTCTAAAGATATGGTTGCTTGATACTAGTAGAATAGATAATTGTGTTGACGGAATCTGCACAACTACTGACGTATTTATATCTGTCCTCTTGGATGTTGGGTTGTGGTGACGTGAAGTCAAATGTCAAATTTAAGAACAAGTCTACGCGCGTGCGCGGTATGGAATCAACATCCATGTATCAGCCTCACCTCATGCCGATCTCCCCCACTTATTTTGACTAGATTGATCATTTTCATCCTTGGATGTCTATCTAGCTTCTGAGATGCTTGACTGCAAGTGCGGGTGATCTTCAATGTGCAGATACCATACTCGTGGTCTGGGGCCCTGTCTGCACTTACTGGTTATTACGTACAATTTAATCATGAGATTCATGTATATGTACACAATTTTACTAGTCTCGCGCCAGGCTACATGGGGTCCTGGGGGGTAGGGGTTGAGGGTTAGGGGCTTATTTACCCTACTTGGGTATACATACACTTAATATTTGACTATACTTGTGCTTGTAGCTTGATATTGGGGAATCCACACGTAGTGGAGCGTATTTGCCAACCGCCAATTTCAAGAATTTACAAATTGTGGGGCTCCGAAATGGCAACCGGGGCTGTTAATTTTGAATTTCGGTGGGGCGGCGTGCTGTGAGATATACCAGGAGGATCACAAGTACCCAGTTTTGTTACTACCGAAGCTAGTATCATGGGTATGAATTTTCAGTTCCAACAGCGTACTTCACAGGTAGCGTGATGGGTTGTCTGGTTTTCGGGGTTTATTCTGTCATACCGTTAACCAGATCGATTTTGGCCACTGCGGGGAACTGTCAATTTTGCCTCCCGAAACTGTCAAGTTTGAAGTGTCAATAGTTGAAATTGACGGTTGGCAAATACGCTCTAATACAGGTAGTTTATCGGAATTACAATCTTAATGTAATGGTGAATACCTAACTAACGTACACATGGTATATAAATATAGATATATTTATTATATAGCGATATACTGGATACCGCGTATATTATTAGTACATATGCTTAGAGGACCTACATGTATATATAGCAAACCTACATGTACTAGTAAAAGCCTTCGAAGCTTGTACTTCCCCGTATCTCTTGAATCTCTGCGTGACCGCCGTTTCCAACTCTTATTACTTTATTAACCCTAATATCATATTAACCGAAATCTCGTGTTTAGCCCACCCGCTCAACCGATGGTAGGGATAACAATCAGCGGGCTTGTGGGACGTGAAGAGGGTGTCCAGATTTGAAAGTATTACAATGAACCAGTACTGGTACAAACTGCCCAATAATTTCTCTGTTCCTCGAAATACTTCATAGCCAATCTCCTCGTATCAGTTAACGTTGCTCTAACCATTTACATGTGATAATTGCACCTTTCGGCTCTGACAACTACTAAGCTAACTGCATCTGAAGACTCAACTCCTAAGACCACGCCCCGCAAAAACACAATAGACATCATTTAAGAAGGAAACTTCATCAGATGGCCGGTAAAGAAAGTTTCAACGATCACAAGGTTCATCTCATGAAGATGACTACAGAGGTCGAAACATTTCAAGACTCCGCCGGTGAAATGCCCCGAATAGGAACTATATCCGAGGCATGATCGATCACGAATAAAGCGGTCATCTTGGGAAGCAAGGCTTCAGTATATATTATACACTGATATAGACCTTCCCGTGATCCAAGTATATGGTTGAGTCAGTCGTAAGCTTGAAGCAGCAGATGCGGCGGGAACATTTGTGTCTGATCTGGTGGAAACATGATGATTTTGTGATGAGTTGAGATACATTTTCAAATATACAAGACGCTGGTTCTGCATAACGAATTGATATGAAGCCATTATTACGGCCAGGGATCTTCAGAACATGTCGACAGTTCGCTACGTTGTCATATGCGGGTTGCGAGTGATGGCTTATGTATTGATGCTGACGTTGTGAGACTGCGTGTAGTTGCTATTTCTGGGTATGCAAGCTAACTCATCATCAAAGGAAAGTTTCTGAATGTTCATAGGATCAATTTACAGGGTACGAATATGTGAAGATAGGCCGCATTGACCCTAAGGTTCTAGAGCTAGGCTTCCATGCTTTCACCACATGATGAATATCCGGGGAAACTTGACACGATGTCTTTCCTCAAAGTTTTAGAAGTCTCAACTCTAAAACAACTCCAATGTTGAGATATATCTTGAGCTAGGTTCTACATTCCTAAATCTCGCTATTATATAATGAGTGAATAAACCTTTACAGTCCCAAATCCTACTCAAAACCCTGCTCAAACCTTTTAAAAAGATAACTCATGATCATCATGATGCTGATCATTTAACTACAGGTGACGATATATGTCATGGCTGGTCTAGATCTATTGAAAACACCTCATATGATGAACTTAAGGGAATAGTTACTCTTACCTGATAAACCACGATAGATCATATTACCCTCCAAAGCCGTATCTTATAGCCGACCAGCTAGGAGACGTTCACGGAATCAGGATTAGGTATGTTAGCATGAAATATACTCTAACATTCTAATAAATACATGTATAAGTTTGGCGGTGCTTTATTGTCAATACGGACGAGGGGGAAATTCTTACGTAAGAAGGTTTTCTTTCTTGATAATCGGACATATCAGTTTAGAAATCGATATAGACAGTAGATTAACATTCTTCTTCAGGTAGCCCACATTTCCAGCATTTCATATACCCTTATTGAGAAATCATTAATAGGGCAGATCAGCTGAGCCCTGGTGAAGAAGTCCGTCGATATAGCTTAATCATAACACGCGCACCCCAGAGTTAGTTACGGAACACTAAATCTTGAAACAGAATGATCAACTGGGTTTTAACCGTAACGAAAATCAAAGGAATTTTCTATGCCAAGACTCCGAAACGCTTAAGGATGACATAAAAACTCCCCTTAAACGCAAGCGACTGTGCGTTTGCCTACAAACAGTACAGGCTGGTGCTGATCTTCATTTGGCGTGGATTGTAGTTACAACAACATTCCGTGCATATGTCCCCTCTAGAGTATACCTTCTTGGGACTAAAAATAGAAACTTGGAATCATGAACATTGCCACGTAATGCGGAACAAGCCGAGAGAAGGAATCCCACCTAATTGACAGCTGCAGCTGTAACCTTCAAAGTCTGTAAAACTATTGAGAGTCATTAACTACACGTACTTTGTTTCTACGACCGAAGCACCTGGGTGATAACCAGATGCATGATCAAATATTTCGATCCACGAGGACATCTTTTATGTTCTGGACGCAGAAGTAGGGAAGCGTTCATAATCTGAAGGAAGCAACGAGTCACAGATGAGCTTATGTGGGCTTAACAAGGTTGGTCTGATGCACTCCCAAAGCCGGAGGTGAGATTTGCAACTTCATATGCAAATATTCTCAACACCGACATCTCGTTGTCGTTGCCTTGTACAAGTGAAGAAACGAGCAGAGAGTGGAGAGGTAGATCTGCGAGTGATAAACTATGACGTCAACCCCGGCAGTCGAATGATACCATGCAGCCCCAGCAAATTCATAGATTTCGCCTCTGCCCCGAATCACAAACCCATTGACTTCTTTTCTCCTCTCAGCCTGGAGCATGCGTATTCCAAGATGCATCGTGTGCTTGTGATCTATCGCGAGGCTTTCTTGTGGCGGCTTATTGCACTTTTGAGAGTCATTCCAATGTTAGCTTAATTAAATTAAACTTCGAACATGACCGGAAAACTTGCGACTTTGCAACCTAAATGTTCCTCTGACTGGTCCGTATGAGTGCCCGAGTGAACATAAGAGCCGAACAGGACGCTTCACTTCAAGGTTTATTTTATGGCGGACTCCGGACGACTGAGGCACCTACATGTGCACACCGTGACGATCA